GTATTCCCAGTCATATTTCTTTTCCTGTTGGCAACAATTGTGGAACTTAGATAGCAATCTGAAGGATCTCCAAACAAATTTCCCCAAGGGGGTAGACGTTTGATTCGTAAAGCTACTGTAGTCCATTGTGGTTATGTGCCATCAAGTCTCTTGTAAAACCCTCTGTACATCAGCTCTGAAGCCTGCCCTGTCCTGAGCCAGTCTCACTGACTCCGACACACCTAATCCCATTGTTCCGGTTATCATGTCAATCCATCTCATCAGGGGTCTTCCCCTCCTGTGCTGTCGCTCCACTCTTCCAGGCATGATGTCCTTTTCTAAGGACCAGTCCCTCCTGGCCACATGCCCAAAGTAAGTGAGGCAGAGCTTCAAAATCCTAGCCTCCAAGGAGAAACTTGGTTTCACCCTCTCCAAGACAGACCTATTTATTCTCCTGGCAGTCCATGGTTTGTATAACACTCTTCTTGAGCACCACAGCTCAAATGCATCAGTTCTTCTTCAGTCATCCCTAGTCACTGTCCAACTCTTTGATGCATAGCATGTAATTGTGAAGACCAGGGCCTGGATCAGGCACACCTTAGTCTCTAGACTGTTGAGTGAAATAACTCAGTCACAAAGGGACAAATAGTGCAGGGGACCCCTGGTGTGCAAAAAGGAGGGTAGTTCACTAAGAGGTAAGGTGGAAGGAGGAGCATAGAAATGGAATGGATGGGCAAAGAACACTATAAGGAACAAGTCAAAGAAAGATCAACGGGGAAGAATCGAAATAAAGACAATAGAGCTGTGACCACTAGCAGATAGGAACAAGGTACATAAGGGAAAGAGGTGAAGGGGTGTGGAAGGAGAAAGAGGGAATCACCAGGTTCACTGGGAATGGTTGGGGCTTGGGAGTGAAGGAGTAAGTAAGGTGCAATGGGGACTTGAAGAGATGGGGAGATAAAATACATCAATGTTGTCGTATGGTTGTTGTTGTTGTTGTTGTGCACCGTCAAGTAGGAAATGACCCAGAGCTCACTCTCTGGGGTTTTCAGAGGCAGTTAATCGTACAGGAGGAGACTGCCCATACTTCTCCCATGGAGCAGATGGTGGCCTCAAACCACAAGCCTTGTGGATTGCAGTGCAGCTTCTTGCCACTAGGCCATCAGTTGTTGTTTTATGCCATCAAGCCACCTGCAACTCATAGCAACCCTTTGTACTACGGCCCTAAACCCTGCTCTACCCTGTGCCAATCTCACCATCTCCAACACACCTGCCACCATTACCCCAGTCACTGAATCAATCCATCTCATCAAGGATCTTCCTCTCTTGCGCTGTTCCTCCACCCTCCCAAGCCTGACGTCCCTCTCCAAGGACTGGACCAGAGCTCCCTAATACATCAATAGTCATCAATTATATAAAACACAATGAACAGAAATGATTGTATGAAACAAAATGAGTAGAAATGAAACAATGTTTTGAATGACCGTGTAAAAACTGAAGATAAGAATAAATAACTAAGGTAAAAAACAGCTACTGTGTACTGACTGATCTTCAAACCATTTCATTAAGCACAGCATAACCCTAATGTTTGCACTGACTGCATAGATCTTGTCCGAGTCACAATACGTGACAGTTAGCCAAGGTCCTTTGGTCATTTTAGAAACCTCCAGGCTCGCTTTGGCTTCCTGTAAATGTCAAGTCAGTAAAAGTGCAGCAGAGAATGGTAACAGCCTGCCTTTCAAAAGGGGCGGTTGGCACAGATCTATCTCCATGGGAAGTAAAGAGGAAAGGCAATCACCACAAAAAGCAAGACACTTGCTCTAGAGAGTTCGTCTGCTGGTTGTCAGGAGGTCGCTGGCCCTGCAGCGCTGGGCACCACCAAGCACAGCTGTGAGAATTTGCACAGACATGCGCATATGGGAACAAGAGGGTCTGTTGACTTGTTTTGTCAATTCCATTTGACCTCTAGCAGTTTTCTGATACAATTAGGAGAGACAGGAAATTAATCTTGCTCATTAGCCTGCTGCAAATCCACTAGTGTAATCTTCAGACTTGGGTTTTTCCACTTGTATGTGAAAGGCACTGACTTCGTTTTGCACTGTTAAGTTGAAGTTGCCCAGGGGAGAATTGTTTCTTATCATGTACAGAGTCATCAACTTTAATGTGTTCTCAAAATAGACTTTAAAAATCACAGTGGTCATATCTAAACTCATCAGAATGCCATCTTGGAAAAAAAAAAGAATTTGTTATGCTGCTAGTTTAAAGGTATAATAATAAAGATAATGATGTCATTCTTGTCACAAAAATACAAGATTCAATACAGATTCTTTACTGAGATTAAATCAAGAAATGGGACTATAAATGTTTTATGTATAAAAATTAGCAAGACAGACATAAGAAAACTATGAGGAAGCTTCAAAGGCTATAGTCTCTCAATTTTACAGTTAGTAGTGGAAGTAACTTGTAAAAATCTAAAGTTGCTGCCAAAAAACTTCAGAATGCATTCCCAATATTTCTATATTAATATTTAAATGGAAATGCATTTTAAAAGAATATCCTTACTCAGTATAGATGTTGTTGTATACAACAGAATCGACTCATAACTGATACTCCAAAGGGTTTCAGAAGCCTAAATCTCACAAGAGGAGATTGCCCCTCCTTCTCCCACAGAGTAGCTGGTAGATTCCAAGAGCATGACTTTGGGGTTGAACTACGACTTCTTATCACTAGGCCACCAGAGTTCCTATAGCTACAGGCTTATAGACAAATGATATCTTGACTAAGTTTGATTATATTCACAAGATATAGGCAACTATATCTTGTCAATATAGTATCCTGAATTATCAAGTTTCTCCCTCATATTTCCTTATACATCTTCCTTTTCTCTTCTTTCATCAGTTAGGCAATCCTATGTGATTGCCTGGAGTGTCAGAACCTTGAAAATTGGCTTTTCTAGGGAGCTCTGGTGGCCTAGTGGCAAGAAGTATGCTGCAATCCCAAAGACATGCAGTTTGAGGCCACCAGCTGCTCTGTGGGAGAAGGATGGGCAATCTCCTCACATGCTATTAAACAGCCTCTGAAAATCTGCTGGATGGTCAGCTATGGGTCGGTTCCAACCTTCTGGTACACAATAAAAGCCATTGCTTTAGCCCTCACTGTGGAGGAATGGTTTCCATCTACCTTAACTGTGGGCACATGGTCTTGTAAATCAATAGCTGTGGGACCAATATAAGACAGTACTTTCCACACTGTAAAAAAAACCAGCACTGAGGATAGTGGAGAAAGTATGAAGAGACTGTGGCACTGCTGTGAAGACACTGGCAAGAGGTAACCAGAGGAATCCTGGAGATACAAGCCACAATTAAATGTTTTACCTGTTGAATGACTGAAGGAAAAGCTGACTTATAACTGCTCTAAAATAAAGTTTGCTGGATGGTTGAGAAAACCAAAGGCTTCCTGTATTTGTACTACTGAACTGAACAAAGACTTCCACTGGCTGACTGGGAAGCTTGGACTAATTGCGATTTTGTGTCTTGCTGACCTGGGACTGCCACACTAAACCCAGACTTGCATTGTGTGATATTCTTTGCCTCCCACACTCTATTATTTCCCTAGTAAACTCTACAACTCCGAGTGAAGTCTGTGTGAGTCTTGAAATGAACATGTGGCTCAACAATTGGTAGCAAAAGGTGCAGAAACATGGAGTGTGGCATGTCTGCCCTTGTAGTTATTTTAGTACTATGCATATAATTTATGGGGACAGTTCCCCCCTTTATGAAGTGGACAGAAGTCACACTACTCACCTACCCTCACACTACATCTGCTCCTTTCTCATTGCTTAAGAAAAATGTTACCAGCAGAAAACAGAGAAGAAAGTCATCAATTTTAGAGTTTGGAGTTTCAAAATTTTAGTCTTTGGGGCAGCATAACAGAGCACCAGATTCGAGAGAAAACTTCATGGATAAAAACCGAGATACCAAACCACAGGATAAATAAAGACTCCCCAGGCTACAGGGAAGATTCTAAAAGATAATAACTGGAACTCAGATGTAGATAATTATTTCTTCCTCAAACTCAAGTCCATCTTCATTGTCCTCTTGTGACACTAAAACATTCCTCCTTAACCAGCCAGCAGGTTATGAAGCTTTATGAGTAGGAGGCATTAGGAGGACCTTTGAGGACAATGGGGTTGTTCTTTCAGTTTGCTGGTACTCCTGTCTTGTCCTACAGTGCGTAACAGCCAGTAGCATGGGGACACTTCATAATGTTGACCAATATTCTCTCCATGGAACCATTTGTTTCATTGGAATCAATCCTTTGAGCTATTTTTGAGCCTATTCCAAGGTGCGGCATCTACTCAGGGCAGCTTCTCTTGGCCCCATCAAAGGTGTCCTCCCACTGCCCCTTGCAAGCTGATTTCTAGCAAGTCCGACAACCTGGTACCTCACTGCAGAGAGCCTGCTCTGGAACCCGAGAGGGAATCTTCCTGGAAAATTTCTCTAGCATAGTACATCATGAGATTTCTCTACCCTTTCCTACAAGGTCTAGAACTCCTCTTAGGAAGAGAATGTCTTCTTCTATATTTGTTCTTTCTTGAGTATTTTTCATTAGTCTTTTAAGTAGCAGCAAGTTCTCTTTCTATCTGTCCCTTTCTTTGTTCTTTAGATTTATTTCTTGCTAACCAACAAACACTCAAAATAAACACATTCACTCACTTCAATTACCTAGCCTGTATAGACTGTGTAGTCATTTTTACCACCGTTGTTACGTTCCTAGTTCCAATTTAAGACTAGTTACAAACAGTGAGAGAGTAGGACAGGAGACCCAGGGAAAAATCTAACTACATTTCCTCACTCTTTGTCAAAGTCAAGATGTTTCAAGGTGGAGAAGATAAGAACAAAGTATTCCTTCTAATTAAAAGTTCTCAGACTGGTCCTTAGCAATATTAGCATCAAAGCTGTAGTCAGGATGGGGGGCAAAAAAACCCCAAAACAAAAAGGTAAGAAAACTCGAACACTAACCTGTGTGATATAGATGATTTTATGTAGCTGAATTAAAATCTGCTGAATAGGATCACTGATCTGGCGTACTTTCCTCTGGGATACAGCAATCCCTGCAGAGGCTGTGGATGATAAATTCAACAGATAGTTAAAAAACCCAGTTTTCTCTTTCAGAAGCAATGTTAGTAAAAAATAAAATATAATTCTGAGGTGAAAAAAATTAAGCAAATATCCTTACTCAGTAAGTGTGGTAACATATAAAGACACTGCAACACTTAATATTTTTTACTGAGATTTTAATGAAAGATTATAGAGAACTTGGATTTCCATTTATTCATTGTTGCACATTTTCTTCCCTGTCCACTAAAAAACAATTCTTTCATTGTTACACAATTACCCTAGTCTACTTTATTATTTTAATATTTAACACTTAACATTTTATGATATGTGAAACAATGCTTTTTCCCTTTATTATCCAATACTTTACTTAACATACTAACAATATCTAACATGTAAAGGACTGTATACTTGATACTTTGCCTGCAATTACAAAAGACTACCATCAGGGGTCAGTGGTGTCTTGGGTATTGTAACCACTGACTTGTAGGCTTCAGACAAATACTAACTAGTGAGAATGCTTTTGAATTCTTTATTCTCTTAAAGCATTTTAAAACTAATTTTAGTAAAACTACTTAATGTAAATATTGATGGGTGAGCAATCTTACAGAGCATATCTCAGTTAAGAATAAAGTCTAAATTACTGTTAAAACTATTTTTTCTAATAACAATTTTCTCACATGGAGAGAGAGAGAGAACAACACGAAAGCTCTCCAGGTCTAACTAAGTCACATTTATAATTTATCCTGAATTTTCATCATTAAGCAAAATTGCTTTAAAGCAGCATGGCACAGAATGGCTTGAGGTCCTTTCCCAGCTTAAAATGTCATAGCCACAAGTAGTTAATTTTTAACCTTGAGAAGTGTAAAGCTATTTAAAGAAATGGTCTTAATGTTAAGGTTAGCCACAAAGGTCATCTCTGCCTCTTCTCATCCTCATCCCTACACTATAGAAAATGAGAGACTTCACATGTAGACATACATCATCCTCCCTCCACACACCCCCATTTGCCCCTTCCCAGACCCCCCTCACTCTTCTCCTATACATTACAGCACACCTCTGGAATAATACTTTTCTTGCCAGTTTGCCATTTTTTAAAGAAAGGCTCCAGTGCCCTTCTTCTTTCCTCTGTTCAATTTTTAAATTACAGAGGATTAAATTTGGATACAATAACTGCTTTAACAAGATTTAAGATTTGTGCTTGTTATGCAAATGCTTTAAGAGAAAGTGTGCATATTTTACCATAAAAAATTTTGTTTTCAAAACATGTAGATGGAAAAATTTAATGTGGTTGTTTATTACAAATGGCGAAAGAGAGGAAGACCCTCAGTGAGGTGGATTAACATGATGACTGAGGCAATGAGATTGAGTGTATCAGAGACTGAGGGTGGCATGAGATAGAGAGGGTTCAGACTGGCTGTTCATAGGGTAGCTATGAGTTGTGCTCAGCCCAACTGTATCCAACTACAATAACAACAACAAAGGAAGGATGAAGAGAGACCTAGAAAATACTCTCTGAGAAAGAGACACCCTTCAGACTTACAACTGATTCAGGGGTGGTGAGGACCTGTGGCATGCAGGGAGAGTGTAACCACAGAGATACCTCCTGCCCTAATATGGCAGAAGGATGGGGAGGCAATAAGGAGGCAGAGCTGTCTTCAGTGAGGGTGGGGGCAGAGAATCTCAAGAGTCACAGATGCCAGGAAGAGCAACTCGATATCCCCTATCTTCTTAAGAAAGAAGATTATCACAACAAGATAAATAATCCAATAGAAGAATGGGCACAGGATATGAACAGACACTTCACCAAAGAAGACATTCAGAG